GCAGCACTGACCGGGGGGCTGGCGCTCTGCCGTCCCTCTTATTCCCCTTCTGTTTTGCAGAAATCTTCCCCGTGAAAGCTTGCTTTTTGGGGGTGGGGGTGAGGGGGGCGTTTGGCTGCTCTGTGGCTAAGCGGACCAGATCAGAGCAAGCGTAGCAGGACTCTGAAGGTTTGCCCTCTTCCCCAACAGGCTGAGCTGATCAGCAAACAGGCTCAGGAGAAGTTTGATCTGAACGAAAACTGCGCGGAGCGCTCTGGCCTCAGGGGTGCTGCAGGAGAGCAGCTGAGCTTTGCTGCCGGGCTGGTCTATTCGCTGAGCCTCCTGCAGGCTACGCTGCACAAATACGAACAGTGAGTACCCAGCCCCGCTCCTCACTCTTGATTCCCACCCACTTCGCTGTCTGGAAGCACAAAGGAACTTTGCAGCCTCACTTCCCCTCTGGAGCTAAAGACGGGCAGCTAGGCTGGAAGAAAGCTGAGGGATCCCATTTAATGCCTCGTGACGGGGGTATTCTCTTGTAACCCCTTCCTCACAACAATTGACACGTGAAGGGATCCAATTCTCTAGCACGTGTTGCTCATTCTTCAGCTGTGACCGTGTCTTGAGGCCTTGCACTGATTTTTCCATCCGTCCTGCCAGGAGATGCATCACAGTCTCTTGCTGATCTTGATTGCATCTGGGGTTGACTCTGGGCTTCAGTCGCCAAGAGCAGGCAAGTGCCCAGTGCCCTCTTCCACGAGTGCCCAGGGCTTAGTCCTGTGCGGAAGGTTTCACGGAGCGCCGGCCTGAACGCTTGATCAGTGTGAGCCCGTCGCTGGGCAGTGCCCTGACGGCACCGCGGAGCCAGGGCTTTCCTCGGAGACCGGGAAATGCCGTCGGGCACCAAGACGGCTGTGGCCGGGCAGGGTACTCGCTTTGAGGCTTGCTCAGCTTTGCTCCCAGGAAAGTGGCTTGGTTTGAAGCAGGGCAACGAAAGATCCCTTTGCTCCTGCACCAGCACGGCTGATGAACTCGTTGGATCCCCTGGAGTGTTGCTGGTGCTCGGTGGCAAGTCTTCTCCTGCCTCCAGCGCTGAGTTCTGGCCTAGAGAATTGAGTGTTTTTCTCTTCTGAGGCTCCCTTTCCTGTAGCTCCCAGGCAGCCTATTTCATGCTGTGGTTTTCTACAGATGTTTTGACCTTCGTTAACCGCTCTCTGGCTACGGTGCTCCCGGGGGGCTGCAGAGGTCTGAGGTTGGCACCCAGAAGTGAAACCCTGTATCGATGTTAGGTTGATGGTTGGACTGGATGATCTGAAAGGTCTTTTCCAACCTAAACGATTCTATGATTCTGTGATGCTGCCTGGAGCATGTGCCTGTCCCAGCCAAGCCGACCGCGTCCGCGTTCCCTTCCCAGGGCCCTGAACAAATGCAGCGTGGAGGTGTATAAGAAGGTGGGGATGCTGTACCCCGAGATGAGCGTCCACGAGCGCTCACTGGACTTCCTGATCGAGCTGCTGCACAAGGACCAGCTGGACGAGACGGTCAACGTGGAGCCGCTGACCAAAGCCATCAAGTACTACCAGGTGGGTCTGCGGAGCCGAGAGCGACGGGCTCTTGGCCGAGCGCGGGGCGTTTCTGACCTGCAGGGCGGGGAACCGGTGCAACCTCGCCAGTGCGCGCCGCGGCTGCAGATCGTGCCCTTGGATACGTCGTTCACGTGGCGCATCGATCGGCTGTGCATAAGCTCATCGGTAGCGCTTTTCTGCGGATGTTTGTCAGCTCCGGAGCGTGCAGGACTTGAGCCTGTGACTGTGTCACCTGGGGGCTGTGTTCGCTGCTCTCTGTCCCCGGGAGGCCGCGGTTCTCCCATCCTACGTTTCCGCACCTCTGTGCTGCAGGCCAGGGCTGCTGACCCTTTGCATGAAAGGCCAGCAGCTCCTTTGGAGGGCGGAGCGTTCAGAGGGGATTTACTGGGGGTCACTGCAAGAGTTTTCACTTCCAGTTAAAAATTAAGCCAAACCCTCAGTGTTTGGGGCTTTTTGTTGTGTATTTCCTCATTTGGTTGGTTTGCTTGCATGTGTGGAGACATTTGAGGGGTGCTGATCTCTGCTGATCTCTCTCCACCTAGCATCTGTACAGCATCCACCTGGCTGACCAGGCTGAAGACTGCACGATGCAGCTGGCCGACCACATCAAGGTGAAGTGAGGAAAAATAACCTCTTTCCTTGCTCTTCCTGCTCCCCCCGAGATAATTTTGTGAGTCGAAGCGCTGCTTCTCCCCGCCTCTCCCCACTGCGGTCACTTTTCCCCAGCTCCCGCTGCCTGTGGTGGCACAGAGGTGAGGAGGGCTCCCAGCTCAGGGAAGGGGGAAGCAGAGGTGGGGCCATTTGCCTTGCAGCTGTCTGGGTAGAAAGAGAAGAGCAGCAAGGGGAGTGCGGAGAGCCTAGTGTCTGAGAGGGAGCGTTGTACTGCCCTGAACTTCTGAGGGAAGTACTAGTGTCCTGTGCCCCGCAGAGTAAACCAAAAATTGGCTGAATCCCTCAACCCGTTTTCCTGCTCCTGTAAATCCTGCAGTCGTGGCAGGGTGGCGTACAGAGGGTCCGTCCTGAAATGCCCGAGACCGAAGCCCCAGCTTGCGCTAGTGCAGCCGGCTTGCCTGGTCTCCGCTTTGCCCCGAGCTGACGGGACCTGTGTTTGTGCTCTGCAGTTCACCCAGAGTGCCTTGGACTGCATGGGGGTGGAGGTGTGCCGGCTGCGGTCCTTCCTCCAGGTAGGACGGTGCTCGGGGTGGCTCTGCGGGCTTGTGCTGCGTTCCCCTCGCCGACGATCCCTCTGTCAGTTTTTCTGAGGTCCTTTCTCTGCGCCCTAGGCTGGGCAGGAGGCGTCCGACCTTGCCATCCTCCTCAAGGACCTGGAGACCTCCTGCAGTGACATTCGCCAGTTCTGCAAGAAGATCAGGCGCCGCATGCCCGGGACGGACGCTCCGGGTATCCCTGCGGCACTGGGCTTCGGGCAGCAGGTGAGCTGGTGCGAGCTGAGGTGGGATGGAGTGCCTCTGGGCTTCGTGTTCCTAGTTGGGATGGAGACGTGGACTGCACAACCTACTTTTCTCCAGCCTTCAGTTTCTTTCTATCTTTCCTGGCGCTTCCCATCTTCCTAGTGATGCTTCAGAAATAAATTAAAATCTCACCAGCTGTCAGACTAGGGTGAGGCAAGCGTTGCGCAGCCAGGAGCCTCCCCAGTGCCTGGGAAGCGAGCTGGAAAGCAGCCCATTTGCCTCCGCCTTTCCCAACCATCCTCTTCCTGCCCGACTTGCAGGTGTCGGCCACGCTGCTGGACTGCCGCAAGCACCTGACGTGGGTGGTGGCCGTGCTGCAGGAGGTGGCCGCTGCAGGGGCGCAGATGATTGCTCCTCTGGCAGAGAACGAGGGGCTGCTGGCGGTGAAGCTGGAGGATCTGGCCTTCAAAGCGAGCGAGCAGGTAGGAAACCCCCTTCTCGACTGCCCCTCCTTCCCTGCTGCGGCGGGGGGAAGCCGGGACCCGTCTCACTCCAACGCTGCAGACCTGTCCGTGAGCAGCTCCGGATGGGAGAGCCTTGTGGAGGCTGGGAATGAACTCCTGGGAATATCGTGGAATCATAGAATAGTTTGGGCCGGAAGGGACCTTTAAAGGT